TAGATCATAGCTGGCTGTATGGGAATGTTTTTAATTTTTCCCATGTGTAACCCAGATAAGAGTCAGTTCCACTTAGAAAGTCCTCCATGAAGTCAACTCTTGCGTACTTTGCCATAATCAAATAAATCAAACTAAAACAAATCGATTTAGTAAAATGGAAACCATCACTACACACACAAATCCATTTTACAATTATGAAGCGTGCTCACATAAATGCCTCGAGGAAGAGATAATTTATCTGAATACTTAAAAAATGTTTTGAACTTTGTGCTAAAAATCTAGGGAGGAAAATACTCGAGAAGGAAAAGTACAGGCACACATATATAAATACAATATCTTAACAAAAACATTCTCGAATAAAAATTACTTTAGCAAAACGTACGTTCGTTCTTCGATAATTACATTTCTAGTTTTCATATATTACTAACAATATATTTGAATTAAGGCAGAAAAGCTGCCGACATGACATTAGTGGCACAGTAGCAAGTGTGAAGCTACGGTTCATCTCTATTTCTACTGGTTTAATTAAATAAAAGTTTGGTTTACAAAATTTAACGTCATTATTGGCTGAAAGACTTTTCTACGTTATGTAAGTCCGTACTTCATAAGAGTTACATAATACCCAGCTAATGTTTGATATATGACACGGATTATTGGTGAAATAACGCAATTCGGAGAGATTTATTACAAGCATTTTTACTACTTTTAGAATAGAAATGGGAAAAAAAAAGAAGGCTTAAAGAGCTATTATAAATTAAAGTTAGAATTTTGTTTTATGTATTCTTTATTTTACACACATATATGTAGACACTTATATATATTTGTAAAAATTTAATGAATAAATTCACATTCATTCCGGAAAAGAAAGAAATTATTACTGAAGAGTAAAAAGCAAAAATTAACATTGTAAAATAAAGACAAAGAAAAATAAATTAATTTAAAAATGAAGTAATAATAATTACAGTTTTTTTTTTGCGATTTCATTTAAGCTCTGTGGAAAGTAATGTTGTAGCGTTAAATTTAATTTTTAACTTGTATTCTGTCCTGTCTCATTATGTTACCATGAAAACAAAATGTTCACTTCAAAAGAAACTGTAAATAACCTAACACGAAGAAAATGTAAAGAACGAATATAAATAGGAGCTCGTTGACTGTTCTGAGAAATGTATAAGCCATTTAAAATGAACTGAAAGGTCTTAGAATAGCCGAGCTGTAATTTCAAAGGCATAATAGTTCTAGGTGTTTTATCCAGATCAAGTTGATTTACTGCGTTAGAAATTTGTGTTAAATTAAACTGTGACCTGCGAGGAGCAGTTGTTACATCTTGTTAGTTCGTAAGTTCTATTTAGTTTCTGTGCTTTGCAACTTCCCGTAATAAAGTCAAACAGTTTAAGTATGTCTACGTAATTCAGCTACTATTGATAAATTTAGCCTAAAATTAAGAATCGAGAATAAACTTAAATAATAACAGTGGAGTAATCCTTATCCTTAGATTTGCTCTGTAAATTTCGTATTTCGTTTTATTTTTACATCTTTAAGATTCAAAATAACTACTTGATTCGAATATACACAGCAGTTTGTTTTTTAATAAATCAATTATTAATGTTACAAGGACTTTTGCCGTGCAGTTTTAGTGAAAGGGCTCATTATATATAACTGAGGGATATCTCACGGCCATCCTATAAGGGAGAATTTATAAAATGGTAATTAAGTTTATTTTCATTAAAACCAATTTAATTCAAACTAAGTCTTTAATTCAATTAAGCAGTATTTATTGAAAACATTAACTTCTTGGAACGTTATTCAATTCTTGGAGCATTATTTTAAATACTATAAGATGCGATGCAAGGTCTGCTGTAAAAGTAGATTCGCTTATCAGATAAAGCTGGTGTGACATATCTAAGTTTAATTGATAATTATAATCGCTTTTTGTAAACTGCTTAACTATCTCACTGTCATTAACAATTTCCTGAGTATCTGAAGCCAATTTATTTGATAAATACCGACAATTTGTTCGTAATGCTGGCGAATTAATTCGGCCAAATTAATTTTTTAAGGCTGGCTAACTAATTCGGCAAAATTTTTAATTAAAGACCAGTAATGAAGCTGAAAGTCCAAAATTTAAAATAACTTCATAGCTATTTAAATCTTAATTTAGACTTCGAAAAACTGAATGAAAATTTGTTTGCTCTTCTAGTATTAAAAATTTCTACGAAGATAAATTACCGTTTCATAATTTTGAAGTTAACTATTATTATAGTTAACTTCAAAATTATGAAACATATTGGAAATTAATAACAAGCAATATTTTTGCATTTGCCTAAGAAAAAAGAAAATCAAAAGGGGGAAAAGATCCTATTTTATTACAACTCAATAATATGTGCACTGTTTTATCCTTTAACTAACAATTAAACACGTTTCCATTCATTGCTTTTTAAAAATATCTCATATGGACGCCACATGACTTCCTTGTAAGGTCTATTAAATTATACACATTTTTTGCTGCACTTTATTCTTATTATTTAAACTTTATTCAATTGACTTTCATTAGAGATCCATTTCATTCAATCAATTCAGTTCTCACTTCGCGACAAGCAAAAATGCATAAAAACTCAAAACATTTTGATCAAAAACTGTAAAATACAGGAAAACATAAAGCATCAAAAACTGTAAAATACAGGAAAACATAAAGCATAAATACAGTTAAAACAGTTTAAAAAACAATTTTAACAATTAAAATTAGAGTTTCTACGCCAAAACAAGCAATTCGGCCAGCCGGTAGGAAGGCAGATTTTTCGGTTCTCAAAACTGAAAGTTAGGCCTTGCGCCGCTTGAACTTTTAAGCTGTTAATAATTATACAACCATTGCACGCAGATTAAGGCATAAAAACCTTAACCGAAACTTAAGAATAAAATAATTCAATCACTTTAAAAGCACATTTTACCAACATATAAGAATAAAAAACTCAGCTCACCCAGCCGTTAGTCGGTTCGGTGAGCTCAGTTTTTTTAAAGTTTTTAAAGTTATATATATATATATATATAATTATAAATTGTAGTAAGCTCGCCTAAAAGTTACCAACAGCTGCTGCTCCAAAAGGTTCAACACGTTTTCAAAAAAATTAATACACATGAAAATAAATCATTAGACATGTAAAACATTAAAAAAATATTAAAAAAAGAAAAAGTTAAAAAGTAAGCAGAAAATGGTAAATTAGCCCAATTCGACTATATTTTGAAAGATGTTTTGAAGTAATTTGAAAGCAAAATGTTAATAATGTTTCAATTGTAAAAGGAAAATTAAAACATGTAATCATTGTCATTGATCGGAAATTAGTTGACTTTTCAAGGGGAACAAACCAACTCCCGTTCAATGAACAATAATTGATAAAAATACGTAAATACGAAAGTGTTTCGTCTTTACTCGAGTTATAAGTTAAAGCCAAACCGGCAATTCTAGTCAGGCCAAATATTTCCGCGAATAGTAGGAATTATGAACCAATGCTGATACTCAAAGAACTTATTCTTATGAAGCATTTTAGTCAATTCAATTTGGAGTAAAAATCAATTACTGTAGAGAAATCCTATAAAACTCGAGTAACCGTCCCCGACACTTTCATGTTTATGCATTTGAGTACTATATAATTTGTAGAAATTAAACATTGGAAATTGTCATTATGAAATCGAATTCAAAGTAAAGTTGAAATAAACATAGATTATAAAAAAAGATAAATAATGCAAACTTTGTAAGAACAAATCAAAGAAAATATAAAAATAATATAAAAATAATACAGAAAATAATATAAATAAGATCAGTGAATGTACATGAAGATATAAAGGCCAGAAAAGGTATTAAGTAACTTACATTCTTTCTAGTCCCATACAACAAATTTCAACGTTCTGTGGCTACTCGTTTTTTGAGTTATGGAGATACATATATATGTACGGATGTACATACAGAGTACAGACATCAGGAAAAAATCTCCTTTCAACCCATCTTAAATCCATTTTACAACCCGTTTCGAAAAAAAAAAAAAAAAAGTGTCCTTTACTCTGTCCGTAAGCACAGATGTCATGAAAAAGCAGCAAAGCGGTCAAAATGGATATTGTCGTTGAAATATGATACCCGAAATGTTTCGCGATTACAATGCTTCCTTTACTTCGTAGAAGGAAGTAAAAATGTGTTAGAAAAGAAAGTGTGCTAGAACATGTTTAATTAACGCGTTTAAAATGTTATTTTATGTGAATATTGATGAAAATAAATCAAAGATAATATAAAACTTTATAAAAAATATTTAACTAAAATCGTGCTATATGAAAATTAAATCTTAATGGATTTTTCTTTGCTTAATGTGTAAAAACAATGCATTTATAAGTCACGAGACGTTAAAGTAAGGAATTGAGCAATGCTATCGGATCAATCTAACCCACATAATACTCTTACCTTGAAGCAGGATTACGCGTCGGTAGCGACTTGTCATTTTTTCACTTTAACACCTTCAAAGCGTGAGCTACCGAGCTGGAGATTTCCTATTGTTTTGGGGAGCTCTAATCTCCTATCTCCAACAAGCAGATAATGACTTGTTAATTGGACACGGAAAATAAATGGATTGTTTTCTGATGCAATAATTCTCCTTTCACTTCTGTTTGTTTCTCTTTCATTTAGTTGTCATAATGGATGTTAAGAATTCGGTATCTTTCATCTAGACTATAGTTTTTTTTGCAGTGAAATTCTTTAGAAAATCACACAGAATTCCATTCTTTAACTATCCACTGCTTTTGTAAGTGAAGTGCAGGTGGTTATATTGCATAAGATTTAAAAAATGACTGATGGAATATTAATATAATTTATTCTAGATATCCTCACAATAATTGCATTTTTAATATTTCACATATACTTCCTTCTCATAACTTCAACAGCTTTTTTCCGTCTTTCAGGTTGCTTATTATATTTTTACTTATTCTTCTAGATTTACAAGTTTAGATTTCGTGTCTAATTTTTAGGTTAGGTTGGAATATGGCAAAGCACACAAGGGCCCTATACCAAAAGAAGCTATGCCTTCACAGAGAACTTTCTGATGGCAACTTCCACTTGGGAAAAGCCAAGAAAGCCAATCATGCAGCAAGCCCATTCGCCTGGGTTGGAACCAAATCTTCCAGTATACAGCGATCTTAAACGATACTTCTAACTTTAATCGAAATGCAAAGTCTTTTGCAGAAAATGGCAATATCAAGCCTAAAATAAATAAAAGAATAGCCTGATATAATAAGGTTTATATTTCAGAAATTTATAATGGAAACAGTAAAGATTCAGAGTCTTGTAATCGGATCTTCCTTTCGTGCATAGTTAACTCGAATCATTCTCTCTCTCTCTCTCTTTTTTTTTTTTTTTTTTTTTTGGACAACGATTTTTAAAAATTGTTATCCGTCGAAATGAGTTGGCATTTGATTGATCGCTTCAAGAACGTCATTCATATTCCTCATATTCTCATAAAAATCTTTTTCAAAATCATCTTGTCTGAGGTTTTTCTTAAAATAATAACGGATAACACAATGATTCTTGTGTTTGAAAAACCGAAGTAATGTTTGAAGAAGAAATTGAAAACAGACTATTTTAGACCAGCAGCTTTTATACAATCAGTACAGTTTCCCAGAACAGAACAGTTAAACAGAACTAACATTATTACTATGACACTTGACAGGATTGCCTGCCTGAGAGAAAAGATGCCTTCGTGGAGGACTCTCTAAAGATGGCTCGTTTCTACATTACATATGCGTTAAAAACCACAAAAACGCCCGTGCAACCTATTCGCTGGATTTCGAACATAGATCGATCAGCCAGTGTTCAGGGAATTTACCGCTAGGCATTACTACGGGGTAATTATCGAGAAACATGCGATAGTTCATACAAAAACAAGTAGTGAACTCGAAGTTAGTAAAATTGCGAGTACGTGGTATAGTTATTAGAATAACCTTCTATATTTCAACCATTTACAAGCACTAGCTTTTTTTTTCTGTATAAAAATACGGCAAAAATTTTGTATAAAACGATATTTTGCATAAGGAATGCTTTCGCGCAAAAGTTTGTATGCAGAACTGTTCATATTCACGTTACGCACCGAGAAACTCACGCATACACTTTTGGAGCCAATCCGTTTGCCTAGAATCCGATTCGATTCGAACTATTCAAGGTTACAATATTATAAGGTTTTCTTTTGTGTGACGCCACTGGTTTATAAATAGTCTGCTGAAAAGCAACTGCTCCCGTTATGGCTTCTTTATCTTGTTTCTGACGTAAGTGACGTAAACGTTGGGGAAAGCCTAAATTTGTTTACTTTTGAACAATCGTGTTTAGCAATTCTACCTCTGGTAGACTAATAGCTTGTAGAAGATTAAGTTGCTTGTTATCATTTGAAATGTATATTTTGCTCAATGCTTTCGAAATGTTTCCCGCCGCTATTAATCACAGTATCATGTGACTGCAATATTTTTAGGGATTATTCAACCTTGGAAATAGTGAAAGAGGTTGGGTGAGAAATCTGGCCAATGATACATTTTTTTTTTCAGCGACATAAGAATTAATTTTTATTTGAATCTGAAATAGGTTACTCTCCAGAACAAATTTTAATGATTCGTTAGTGTTAAGAAGAGGTAGAGGTAAAAGCAGGAGTTTACACTCTATTTTTTATACTTGTGCACAGAAATGATTTCACCAGTTCCGTCAGAGGAAATTAAAACCCTCCCTGGTTATTTCAGCTACAAATCCTAAAAAGAAGTACATATACTGGCAAGTCTAGACAGCTAAAATTCCATTTTTAATTCGTTTACATTATGCAAATGACACCTTTTGCTTGAAATATAAGAGATCTTTTAGTTCTGCTTATTTTCAAGAAGAAGTTAACTCAATATTATTCCACCTTAATATGCAGATGAAAAGAATAATTGATTGCTCATGGCATAAAATGAAAGGGATTTCGCGAAGTTTATAATGACTGAATAAACTAGTCATACTGTATAGTTATGTGTGTTTCAGAACTATTTTTATTTTTATTTTTATTCCTCTGCTTCAACATTTGTTCAGTTTGAACACACCCTTTGAATATAACTGCCTAAATTAGAGAATGTGTTGTCATTATATTTGATATTGCTTATGATAATGCTTTTCAATGCTTCTGAATTTACAAGTAGAATTTCAGGTCGCATCTCTGTTGTAATTCAATTTATTTTTAGCCAGCTGAGTTTCAGGGCAAATTTCTCTATCATAACTACAAAATGTTTTCCAGAATGAGTTATTTTTTCTGCTTTGTGAAAAATGATTAGGTGTAAGTAGGATTCAGTTTTACACAATTTCTACTAAAACAATAATTTATTTTGAAAAAGAATGAATAACAAATTTGAAACCAAGAGCCCACCAAAATATGAATGTATGCATATATTCATCTCAAAAACAACATATTATATCTTAAAGAAAATCTATGAATACAGGGTGTTCATTAAATATCCCCCAAACTCTATATTTTCAAATCCTTTGCTCAAAGTTAATATTAATGTGTACAGGAGATAAGAAAAATTAAACTTAAGTTCAAAGATCTTATTTAAAATTAGGTAAAAGCTTCTTGAAATCAGTTTTTTATAGTCATTTTTATTCATGTTTAAACGTTTACGCTACCAGCTTTTTGTGTATTTTCTTCTACCCCACCAATGACAGAATGAATGAGACATTTAAATACTCGGAGTTCATTCTGGGTTCTATCCCAGGTGAACGAGCAGACTGCATACTTGGTTTTGCGTGGTTTGTTTCCTATGTGTAACGTGACTACGAGACAGTATCCCTCAGAAAGTCCTCCAAAAGCATTCCTCCTCTTATACAGATAGCCCTTGTCCCATTCTTGCCACTAGATGGCGGACATTCTTCCTTTCTTTCTCTCTAATTGAGATCTGGGAAGGAGATTAGATTCGAACCGCTCGGAGGAGCGGAAGACTGAAGAAAAGACTTGGGAGTTAGAAAACAATTAAAATGTACTGTAATATAAAGACGTATGTAAATAAAAAGTCATTAAGACTTAATTGAAGTTGTAATTTGCATCGAATATACATGCCGAAATAGCTCTCCCATATAGAAGCTATGGATTATAGAATCATCAGCCCTCATGAGCTTTGCTTTATTGAGTAACCTAACCTTAGTGGAGGAACTCACGAGCGGCCAAACAGATGATAGCACTACATACTGATAATTTCACTCAGATTCGATTCTTGGGAATGGTCTAGCTGCAGGGAAGGTTTCATAGATTTTTCCAAGTGAGTTACAAATTTAATTTCCAAAAGTACTTCATTAACATATTCCTTCTCTTACGCAAATAACCTTCATGGGCTTTGCCATAATGAAACAGTGAACTAAATAAAGAGACAAACATTAGAGTAGAAAGGCATTAGAGTAGAAAACATTAGAGTAGAAAGGAAATTTTAAGTAGTGAAGACTATAAGGTCTTCTTAACCAACAGTTTTCTCTTCTTTATCTTTTTTCAGGACAAATTAAGCCCGTTGATATAAAAGATCTGATGTGTCTGCAAATATAATGAGGTATATCTCGTTATATCCATTTTCAGACATGAAGTGTCACACAAAAACATTTTACTTCCAGGATCATTTATGAGATAATATTTCAAACTTTTCTTGAATTTTTCTCTTCTCTATAAATTTTATCTCATAGCACATACGTGAATCGATTCTTGAACACTAATATTTTTTTATGATACAAATTGGAAATATATATATATGTATTTATTAGGAGGAATATTTAATAAGAATGAAAAATAGCCGTCCAAAATAATAAAGAACTTTATTTGAAACTTCACTTTGCTTATACTTAACTTGAATCTATAAACAAATTTTCATGAAAAAGAACATTATGAGGTAATACAAAAATGATTAAATTTGGTATTTGAAATAAGTATGTGATTAAGAGCAAAGTATTACATTTATGAGTATTGAATGTATTCTTGGAATTATGCTAAATGTAACGTGAACAAGCCCATAATGAAGACGAGGTCTTGTTATGAAGCAATTAAATGTATTATCCTCAATCCTCAATTTTGTGTTTGTTTCACTTTTGTATTGAATCACGTTTCAAATAAGAGGATGTTGCTGCCGATTGTTATCGCTATGTATTATTTTGGAAGAAATTATATATAAAATATAAATACAGAAACTATAAAAAATATAATAAAACATCGAATATAAAAATACGTGTGGCCCCAATTAATACTCTTCTGGCAATTCTAAAGATATACTGATTTTAAAGATTCTGTAGTTTTGTTGTTGAGTTTTATGTAGAGTAATTACGAAGAGAGTGGTTTTCAATAAATAAATAAAAAGAGTCGGCTATCTTGTTAAGAAGACCGAACACTGATATCATAAAATAGAAAATAAATGTATGGCAACACTTCATACTCCACTGGGAATTTTAAGACTATGCCGCTTTTAAAAATTTTGTAATTGCTTAAGTCACTGATCTGTGAATCTGAAAAACAACAGGACCAGAGGATGTACTTCGATGCGGTATTTTCAAATCAAATCATGAGAATGGATGTTTACACGTACACGTATAGTTACCATTGTCCATAGTAAGGAAAAATGTTATAATAATAAATAAGCAGTGTTTATAATGAACACTAAGCGATAATGTTTACAAGTAAATTATATTTTACTTACAAAAGATCAGTCAAAAGTGATAACTTCCATATTCAGATACAGAATTGGCGGGAAGTCACAATAGATTTTAAAATTTTATATATAAATACGGAATTTTATTTATTAACACACGGAAATGAAATTTTATTAATTGGTTATATTTTTCTTAGCGAGTGATTTTAGGCAAATATATCATTAAAAAGTGTAAGAGACGGAAATAAGTGTAAATGTTATCTGATTTTAAAGGCTTATATTGTTAACTTTTATTATTATTTTATTCGCTTAGAGGGACTTATTAAACAACATTTAGAAAACATTAGTATAAAGGAAAATTTATTACAAATTCTTTAGATCGAAAAATATTTATTATTTTTTAATTAAGTTATTTTGCTTATAGGCATATTGCGAACAAAATATTCTTTATGGCTTCAGGCGCTTAATAAGAATTCTGTGTTTTGACCACTAGGCCAAGGTCCCCGGCAAACGTTCTCAGAAGAAAAAAGTTGATTTTCTCATACCACTTACTGCTCGGTGCAATTAAATACTCGCTGTTCGTCAATTTATGTAATTAATATCAGCTGCCAGTTTCACTTTTTCTTTCTTATTTGATCAAAATTACAGTTCTCCTCGCCTTCTCAACTCATGCTGTGATCAGAACAATGCGTATGATGGGTATTGTTCATTTTTCAATTGTTCATACATTTAAAAAGTGAATAAAAAAGAATTCGGATTTCTTTATTGCATTTATTATTACTTTGCAGCGCTTTCCATCTAATCTTGCCAGGGGGAAGAAGAGAATCGTAGCAAAAATGGAAGGGAAAAAATTCAATTGTTTATCTGTTTTCGATATTAGTTTAGCGTGAGAAAACAGCGAAGGAATTTCACATTTCCGGCGGCAACTTGTAATTAGCATGACAAGAGAGAGTGCAAAGTTTACTGTGCATATTTATTTACCTTGACTTGAACTGCAGCTGCTTCTTGACTTTTTCCGCGTCGCCGTCAACCTTCGCAACTTCCTTCTCTCAAACTATTCTCACAACACTTGCATGCAAATAAACCTAAGGAAATATAATTATATGACTATCAACAAAGAAAGTGATCGAGAGCAAAATATAGGTTGCATGTGATTTATTGACTCAGACAGAAATGCAAACAGAATTTATTAAATGATATATCTGTGTGGTTTGGTACATTAGGAAGAATAAATAAACTTATTTCAGTAATCGCTCGTTAATTTCAGAGTGTTCCTTTCGCTGTGCGAATAAATTCCAAATTGTACTTTCTCTTGTTTCAGAAACTACGGTGTTCAGTGCTTTATTTTAAAATTTTCAAATTACAAACCTTTCATAGACAAGAATACTTCTCAGAGTGAAACATTTAAAGAGATTAGAATAATTTTGATATAGTTGTGAGATAGCTTTGAGTATCTCCATATGGATATACATCTTCATATGCCGTTACGAATCTCTACTGTCTACATCGTCTTTAATATGTGTTAGCGGATGGAAAGTAGACTCAAACGTTCGTTACTGCGTTTATTAGACTGTGTGAAGAACAAGTTCGTACAATAGATATACAAGTAGTTCGGCGCTCGCAGGCGCCCTCTTCCAGGGAACAAAATCAAAATTTACATAAGGCGCGAACATGCCGCCCACCTTGAAATACTATTTCAACATTTAGTGGTTAAAATTCAGTAAATTTAAAACACAATACAATATTAAAATTATGATATAATACTTAATTTATAATACATGAATTAAAACTCAAATTGGTAATGGACACAATTTTGTAATATTTCTTTTAACCATGCCATCTGAAGTCTTAATAGTCACAACCCTAACAACACTATCAAGACCAGGATGTAACTGAGTAATTCTACCCATTTTCCATTTAGTTGGAGGTAAGTTATCCTCCTTTATGAGACACAGATCATTAACTTGAAGATTTTTAGTTGGCAAAAGCCATTTTGGTCTTTGTTGTAATCGACACAGATATTCTTTGTGCCAACGTTTCCAAAATTGTTGAACCATTTTTTGAATATGTTGCCATCTGGTGAGATGGGAAACTTCAATGTAATTTGGTTCAGGAATGCTTGTTAATGATCTACCAATAAGAAAATGACCAGGCGTTAATGCTGACAAGTCATTTGGATCATTAGACAAACTTGTTAAAGGTCGCGAATTAAGACAAGCTTCTATTTGTGTGAGAAATGTTTCAAATTCTTCATATGTCAATCTCGCCTCACCAACTACTCGTTTTAAATGGTATTTTGTTGATTTTATGCCAGCTTCCCAGAGTCCACCCATATGTGGCGCACCTGGAACGTTTAGATGCCATTTAATGCCATTATCAACCAAATATCTACTAACATTTTGGTTATAAGTTGCAGACCTAGCAAGCCTTTCAAATTCCATCAGTTTGCGTTTTGCTCCAACAAAATTGGAACCACAATCGCTATGTATATCACTGCTTTTGCCTCTGCGGGAAATGAACCTCTTAAGAGCTGCAATAAAAGCATCTGCTGAAAGATCAGTCACTAATTCTAGGTGAATAGCTCTTGTAAAACAAACAAATAGAGCTATATATGCCTTGAATGACCCAGAGCCTCGACCCTTATTTGCTTTAATTTGAAAAGGACCTGCGTAATCCACTCCACAGCGCAAAAGCGCAGGAGCAGGCGAAACGCGACTAGACGGCAAATCGCTCATCAATTGATTAGTGACAGATGCTCTAATTTTGCAACACTTTATACATTTCCTAACTAAATCTCTGATAACAGCTCTACCATTTATGATCCAATATTGTTCTTGAATGCAAAGATTGCATAAGTTGTGGACCTGCATGCAAAAGTCTTTCATGGTAATGTCTAACAATGAGATGAGTTAAAATGTGCTTCTTTGGAAGCAAAAAATGGAATGCCTAAAACCATATGCAAGGTTTGCATGTCGCAAGCGACCGCCCACCCTGAGAATACCTGCAAATTATCTAAAAATGGATTCAAAAGATAAAATTTTGCTTGTACCAAGATAATGATTGATTTCTGCCTAAAGTGTTAATTTCATTCTTAAATTCAACATATTGCATTAATTTAATTAACACATGCATAGCTTTAGTTAATTCACTTGTTTTTAAAAATCCACTTACCTGATCTTCTGAATTTTACAGTTATTTACAAACCTCAGACATAATGCTACAACACGTTTAAGTTTAGTGAGAGAAGGAATATTTATAAAATAAATCAATGAGCGTCTGTCAAGTGACTGGCAGCAGTTGTTGAGACTGTAAAGCCCATCATTTGCTCCTTTGCTCTGGCACAGAATCATTCAGTAGTGGTGCAGATAATGCTTGGCTGAAAGGGAAATAAATTATACAATAAATCTGGACCACGTAGCCACAATGAAGTAACCAGTGCAGATGATGACACACCACGGTTTGCAAGATCAGCAGGATTAGCATTTCCACTCACATGATGCCACTGGACAGGAGAGGATAAAGTCTGGATTTTTTGCTACTCTGTTGGCGACGAAGGTCTTCCATCGGCTTGCATGAGATCTTATCCAGGCTAATACAATAGTGGAATCAGTATGAAAATAAACTTGCGATATAGGAGTATTTAAAGCCCTACAGGTGAAATCCATTAATTTAGTCAACAGTAATGCTCCACAAAGTTCCAATCGGGGAAGTGATATGGTTTTTAGTGGTGCAACTCTTGTTTTGGCTATCACTAACTGAACATTAATTTGTCCAGTATCTAACACAGAACGATAATAAATTGCAGCGGCGTAGGCCTTCTCTGAGGCGTCACAAAACCCGTGCAGTTGAAACTGGTTATCTGATTCAACCAACAAGAATCGTGAAATTTTGATACTTTTAATAAATATCAAATCTTCTGTAAGTTGTTTCCACTCACATTCAATATCTGGAGGAACCTTTTCATCCCACTGAAACTGATGTTTACACGATCTTTGCATAATCAATTTATACCGAACCGTGATCGGTGCCAACCATCCAAGAGGGTCAAAGGTCTTTGCGATTATTGAAAGTAATGTTAGTTTGGTTAAGACTTCAGGATATGATGAATTGACTTTGAATAAAAACATATCTGAAGCTGGATGCCACAGGATACCTAACGTTTTTACAGTATCATCATTGTCTATGTTCAAAGAAACATTTGATAAGCACAAATCTGGATTAATTGAATTCAAGATTTCTTTGCTGTTAGAAACCCCCCCCCCCCCCCCCCCCCCCCCCCCCCCCCCCCCCCCCCCCCCCCCCCCCCCCCCCCCCCACCCCCCCCCCCCCCCCCCCCCCCCCCCCCCCCCCCCCCCCCCCCGCCACATTTTCTTAGAATAAAAATAAATCCTGCACGTGACAACATCTGATTCAATTGCATTTGTAATTCTATAGCTTCAGTAACTGAATTGGCTCCGGACATCAAATCATCAACGTAGAAGTCCCTAAGACATGTCTTGGAAGCCAAAGGAAAATTAGTTGCTTCATCTATGGCTAACTGCTGTAAACATCTTACCGCAAGGTACGAAGCTGATGCAGTACCGTAAGCAATCTTAGTTAATCGAAAATCCTGAATTGGTTTATAAAGTGAATCGCGCCAGACTATTCTCTGAAAGTCTGCATCTTTTAGTATAATTTGTCTGTACATTTTCTCTATATCTGCAGTTATAGCTATTCTGTGAATTCTGAAACGAATAATTAATGTTGTCAGATCAGTCTGCAACTGTAGACCAACCATCAATTTCTCATTAAGAGAAATACCGCTAGAAGATTTTGCAGAACCATCAAATACGACTCGAAATGTATCACCATTTTTATCCGGAACTGAATGGTGCGGAAGGTTAAAAACTAGAATTAGCTGGAACATCAATTTCATTTTCTGGAATCAATTCCATATGACCAAGTTGTTGATAGTCCTCCATAAATTTGTGATATTGACTGGAAAGAGATTTATTCTTAATAAATTGACGTTCAATGCTTTGTAAACGATGTACAGCAACATCCCTTGATGACCCAAGTTCATTTCCCGATCTGCGAAATGGAAACTTAACAACAAATCTACCTGTTGAATCACGAGAAAAATTCCGCTTGAAATGATTTTCACATTCAATTTCCTCTTCTGTGTAATGCTTTATCTCCGAAATCCAATTTCCAAAATTTTTCAACCTGGAGCTGAACATTGGTACAACTAGCATGATTCGATACAATTGTCTGCGATACACTTTTAATCTTTCCGATAATGACCCAGCCGAATATTGATTCCAAGGCTGTTAACGAATGACCCGGAACAGTTAAACGTCCATGAAGCATTATCTCGCCAAATACATCTGCGCCCAAAAGAATATCTATTGGGCCAGGCTGGAAACAATTTGTATCTGCCAACCACAAATGTTTGAAAGATGTCAAAACAGATCTATCAACTTGATATTGAAGAAGGTCACACGTGATCTTGGGTATAATTAATGCATTAACTGAAATGCTTGTGTTTTTATAAAATGGAGATGTTACTTGTAATTGAACTGAACCTGAAACCTTTCCAATTTTTTTGCGAGCTCAGGCCATTTACACTTACGTTTGCACTAGTGCGCTTTAGCTGCAGTAAATTTACACAGTGCTCTCGAATAAATGAGCCCTGGCTACCTGAATCAATTAGCATCCTGCATTTTTGTAAATCGCCATTAATATCTTTAACATAAACAATCGCAGTAGGCAATAAAACTGCTTGCGTGAACAGGGCACCGTGGCGTTATTGCTACTAATAGCAGAAGTTCCGTGTTCCATGGGTATATGACATTTTCATCATTTGAATTTTTCGAACATAACACTGTATTATGTGGCTTTGAACAATATTTACACATGCCTGCACGACATTTAAAAATGGGAATGCGTTTTACTATCTTTCAAACAATTAGCACATAACTTATTCCTTTTAATAATATCCCATTTTTCTTTGATAGGGAGTTCTAAAAAGCTATCACATTTAAATAACTGAGAATGAGAATTACTCTTACAATGAACGCACACATTAGCCACAAAGTTGGAACGATCTAAAAGCGTATCTGCTACCTGAACCGCGAGTTTTACCATTTCAGAAGGTAAACCCGCCTTCTCCCTCTGGCACTTCGCCAAAGAACCAATAGCATCTTGATGTTTAAAATAAAACGCTTTGAATTCAGCGAAAGCAGAAAACTTTTCTTGTTCGAATGCTCTATCGTCCACTTACTTTTAGTGTTTCATGATCATAAAAAGTTTTTCCTTTAAACAGATTAAAATAATCATAGTATCCCAATGCTCTACCGGCTGTTTAAGGATTTTTAATGTATCAATACACTGTTGTGTTGTATCAATTAATCTCCGCAAACCTGAAGCTGATTCATGTTTTAGAGCACAGGTGTGAAGTTAATTTATTTAATGCTGCGTTTATTATTTCTATTTCGTTTTCATAACGTTCAGTAAGCGCTTTCCCATGCCTTTTCATAATTCGCGTTTGAAATTTGAACTGACTTGTAGTAAAACAGCAGCTTCACCTTTTCACAGAAAGCTTAAGATATTGCAATTTTTGACTGTCACTTAATGTACTATTATTTCCAACACTGGCAAGAAATAAATCCCTAAATGATATCCAGTCAACATAATTAGAAGTAAACACTGGCAATTCCACGCGAGGAAGTTTCAAGCCGTTTGCATTAGCATTTATTATATCTTTGCCTGAATTTCTAAGTTTTCTTGATTCTTCCTTTAAAGTAATTTTTAATACATCTAATTTGGAAAATAATTCATGCATTTCTATTTCATATTTACTAAACTCTGCATCAGAACAAGTACCAAGAATGTTATCGTTTAAACAGTTCACTTCAACACTTAATGCACCAACATCATTTTCGTACCCTTCAATGGCAGAAAAAGAATTTTCTTGATTTTGTAAACTATTTATTTGTGAAAATAAACGAGTCAACTTACTCTTAATGATACGCTTTTGCTTTAAAATTGACTCCATATTCCTGCCGCTGTTTTCACAATCCAGACAAAATATAAATCCGTTTTCCTGCACGAAATGTCCTTCTATACCAGAACGTTAAAAATTGTCTTGACACATCATCCAAAGAAATGCGCTGGCTCACGACGGACCATGTTAGCGGATGGAAAGTAGACTCAAACGTTCGTTACTGCGTTTATTAGACTGTGTGAAGAACAAGTTCGTACAATAGATATACAAGTAGTTCGGCGCTCGCAGGCGCCCTCTTGCAGGGAACAAAATCAAAATTTATATAAGGCGCGAACAATGTGTACATGCTATTACCGCAGACGGTGTTTTATTACATTGGTAATCTAAGAACGTTATGAATGGTGCATGGGAATATTTACTTCCAGAATTTGTATACGATATTACAGGATTTGGGATCTAAATAAAAAATTGTCGAAAATTTTAAAAAATTAGGAAATTTTAAAAATCAAATCCAAAGAACACATTTTGGGAATTGTTCGAAATGTAATGAAAAGAAAAAAGGGAGAGGGAGACAAGATTCTTTCGGAGCTAAAATTTTTTGCATAACGATTAATGAAAGTGAAAATGATATGCAAGCGCAGAAACGAAAATATTTCTTGAATATTTTTCAAGTTTAGAACATAAAGGTTTAAATTATTAAATTAAGTACAGGCTTATATTGAGGAAATAATTATGACTCATGTATCAATT